CAGGCTCTTCACCTCCGCGCCCCTCTCTGGCTCCTGCACGCCCCTCTCCAGCTCTGGGTTCCTGGGCTCATTCGACGGTTTGCGCGCCAGGGCGCGCAGGTGACGGGCCAGGGAGTCGTGGGGGGTGCTGGTCTCTCCCGGTCCCCGGGTGCGCTTGAGTACCCTCCCCCCCCTCACCCCACCACCGAGCCCTAGTCCGGCTCCCTGGGCTTCGCTGTTCCCAAAAGACAAAGGCATCAAAGTAGCGCAAAAGTTTTTTTGTTGTTGTTTTGTCTTTAGAGAGAGAGAGGAAAAAAAAAAGAAATAGGGAAAAAAGGGGAAGTGAGGAAGGAGAAGGAATAGAGAATCGCGTTCCAGTACTGAACTTGGAGCGACATCTGTGCCACTAGGGACAGCAACAGAGCAGATCTTTGTAGCCTCCCTGAGTACACAAGTCCACCGTCCTTTCTCCACTGAAAGCGTCGGGATTTGGAGGCTGTTCCGGGAGCGTCCGCGGGGAAAGGGGAATAAAGCCCTTCCCCTCGAAAGTCAGCAAAGCTTCCTCTCCAGCGATCGGTGTGGAGATCCCTAAAATCGCAGTGAATAGCAAACAACCCAGTGTGTGTGTGTGTGTGCGCGCGCGCGCGCGCGTGTGTGTGCGCGTGTGCGTGTGTGTGCGTGTGCGTGTGTATGTGTGTGTGTTGTGCCTCCTCGCTCCCTGGGTGAACGCATTTGGAGAATCTCTGGGAGCGTTCGAGTAGGGGCTCACCCTGTGAGCAGTACTCACACATATAATTCAAATTTCACAGCTGACCTGCTCTGAAAACCTCAATCAGCTTCTAATTGAAGGGAAAACAAAATATTGCTTCCCTACAGCAGAGCTAACGATTTAATCATTATATCAGACATTATAGCTTTTAATTAGGCTAATGCTGATACTGTATGGAAAGAGATAATTCAACACAGTTCTTGATGAATTCTGTAATTGGGTTAACGGCGGAGCCGTTGGGGGAGAGACGTCAATATTCAAGCTGCGTCTGTAGCCACCAGGTTTATGAATGAGAGAGAGAAGACAAGGGAGGAAAATGCTGGGACCCGAGGGGAGCACCGCGCCCTCCGCGGCGGCGGAGCG